TATTATATGATTTTATTAATCATTTATTAATTTGAGTAAAAAATTTTGATTTTCTTTAATTAAAATCTTGAATTTAAATATTATAAATAAAAAAACATGTCAAAAAAATATCCCCTTACAAGGTGTGACACGATTCAATTTTAAATTAATTAGAATAATTATGAAATACTAAGAGATTGGTACCAAAAAATACTATATGAATTTAATTTAAATTTTTTTATTTTTTTAATATATTATTAAATTATCTCTAAATCTTTAATTGGAAAAAAGTGAGCTATTTAAGATAAAATAATATACTCTCGGGGACACGTTAAAAAAATCTTTAAAAAGTTTTTTCTATTAAAAATATTAAAATATTTAATAATTATTATATATTAAATTTAATAAAACTAAAACTCACGTCATACTTTATACAAGCGAGATATCTAAATGCATCCCCAAAGTACAGTGGTAGGGATAAATTCACCTCCGAATAAAAATCAAAGATAAATTCAGTTACAAAATTTTTTATTTGAACAAATCACTCAAAATTTAATATGTGATATCATTTGATATTAACAATCCGTTAATTTATTATTTCGCTAATAACAGATTGCTGACATTAAGTTAATGGATTGCTAACATTATATGATGTTACATGTTAAATTTAAAATGATTTATCTAAATCAAAAACTTTATGAATAGATTTATCCCCATTTTTTGTTTAGGATGAATTCACCCCTGCTATTATACTTTAAAAGTAAGTTTTTGTATTTTGCCTTTTACATATTATATGGTTATTATTAGATGTTTTAATATTTTTAATACTAAAACGCCTTATTTTTCCTTTTCCTTATGTTTTTTGGATAAGATTTTTTAAATTTGTAATGCTACAATTAATGATATTTTTTATTAATTAGCATTGAAAATAAAAATTATTATAGATTTTTTTAACATATGCTTTATATATGTATCTATTTTACTCCATTGGTCTCAGATTAATAAACATTTTTAATTTTAGAATTTGTCTAAAATTACTAGTGATTTTTTCATATTTTAATAGCAATAAAACTTTTTTTTAACTTTAACTTCATTATTATCCTTTCATTTTGATTTTTTAACTTGTTATAAAAATACTTCATTATTTTTATTTTTTTAAGAATAATATAAGTAAAAATACAAATGTCTACACAATTTTA